TATATTTTTGTTGTTTTTTATATTAGAGCAATATTTATAAAAAATTAATTATGTGGTTGGAAAGATTAGTTGCTTATAATAATCATCCTTTCGAACCATATAATTTATTCTTACTCTCTCTCTTTATACATTTTTCTTTAATACAAAAAACAAGAAAGATATTTTTAACCGATTTAAAAAAAAATTCGTAGCTTGTTATGTATGTTTGTTTGTATGTTCCCTCATAACTGGAGAAATATTAGAAATGTTAGAAATATTAAGATAAAACTTTTTGTAGCTTGTTCTGTTATATGTGTTATCTACATAGTTTTTAATTTAGAGGAGGGAGAGATATCATTAATCTGATTTATCCGACAGACCTGAAAATTGGGTAATTCTATTATTTTCTTGAAAATTTGAGAACATATAAAGATACAAGACGAAAATTTTTTTCAATGATTCAAAAAAACTTTTAGTAAATCATTATAAAATACGAAATAAAAAAATATTTTTAATAAAAATAAACCGCTTCAAAAAATCTCAAAAGTCCTAAAAAGTATAAAATAAATTGGATCAATATATTTTACGCATTTACAATATAATATTCTTACGATATCAGAAGTAGAAAAAGATAAATTATTAGATACTTATATAAAATTTCGTAAAATTCCAAATAGATAACTATAGCAGCGACTTAATAATTGTTTTTTTTAAGTTGCTTTTGCATTTTTAAATATTAACCATACTTGATTAAAATTAGAGATTTTATAGGTCATTGAAAATGGCCAAAAATTTCATTTTTTTGCACCTTTAAATTGAAATATCTTAAAAACTTGACGTAATATGATATTTTGGATGTCAGATTCATAATCAGCGCGTCTAAACTTATCAAGGACAACGTTATTTACTTTAAGTCATGTTCTAATCAACTAAACGAGATAAAGAACAATGAATTAGAAACATTGCTCAACGAAAACTCGGCTTAAATATTAAAAATCTTATACAGTAGCTTGAAATTGATGAACCAACAGTATCCCGTTATTTGAAAACAATGGCAAAGATCTAAAAGGAACGAAAATGGCTTCTCCATGAACTTTCTGCAATCTCGATTCCGAACCGGCTTATCATCTGTCTCCCACTGCTTGCTAAAAAAAAGTTTTTTGTGGCGAATAGTTACGAGTGATGAAAAGGATTTATTTTGATAATTCTAAACGTAGAAGCTCATGAATTGATCTCGGTCAACCATGAACATTCGCCACAAAATGCAACATCCAGTCATAAAGTTTTCCTGTGTATCTGATGGGACCGAGAAAGAATAGTTTACTATGAGCTATTAGTATCAGTCAAAGAAAATCACTACAGTCAACAATTATAGCGTTTTAACCAAACCATGAAGAGAAGGCGTATCCTAATCCTAATAGCTGTTAATTAACGCAAAGTCATTTTGCTTCATGACATCGTTAGAACGTATATTGCTGTTGCAACTAAAAGAACGTTGTTCATGTTAGATTAAGAAGTCCTGCCGCGCTCTGTGTATTCTTCAAACATCGCTCCATCCGATTTTCATCTATTCAAATTGATACAGCACGGACTATCTGATACACGATATTGAAATGTTGAAGAAGTGCAAAAATGGGTTGATAAATGAGTTGTGTCAAATGATGAATTATTTCATTAATACGGCAACAAATTATTTAATGATGACAAAAAGTTATTGATAGCAATTACCAATACTATGATTAAAATATTATACGTTATTTCATTGTCTTTAATAAATAAAAATTCATTATCATACAAATTTGTGCAAGCATCTAATAGATAGGTAACTAACTATAACTATAACTATAACTATAACTATAACTAACTATGTATAACTAATAGTTGTAAGGAGATAAATATTAAAAAAAGTATGATTATTAACTCTCAAATAGAAATAAAACAAGGAAGAGCGTTTAAGAGCCTAAGCACAGATTAAATCGTGCAATCTTCTTCTTATTATTATATAATGCATTCTTCTTATTATTATTATTTAACTGTTTTTAGCAAATTTCGTTAGATTTATCTTCGGTTATGGCTTCATCTGTGAGATTAATTTGATCTATTAGTCTGCTCCACATCGTCTGTTTAAACAATGGTGGCACCAATGATGCACTGCGTTTACGTGTTGGAGGGAGGAAAATTTAAATTAAATGTTTGGACCAAGACCTTATCCAATGTTTTCTGCGAGCGATCAACTTATGAGCGTGCGTTTTTTCAAATCTAATGACTCTCGACTATTATTGTTTTTTGACTCGCAAGTTTTTTGATTTTTTATATTAGTTTACTAAAGAGAACCAAAAAAGGATCGAAACGTTTAAATATATTTGTGTCAATGTAATCTTTTGATTGCACTATTTAATCTGTGCCTAGGCTCTTAAACGCCCTTCCTTGTTTTATTTCTATTTAATTATTAAATCTTAGAGCTATTTTAATTCTTTTGTTCTTTAAGATTATTAACTCGATCAGTCAGATTTTTGTGCCGACTTCTTATATTTGTTACAATGTTAGAATAGGATTGTAGATATATGGGAATATTGAGTCAAAATTACACTATTCAAAAGAAGTATGGTATAAAATAATTGTAGGCAAAAATAGGTGAAACTTTAATGATTTATTACTTCGCAAAAAATGACCGTGCAAACAGTATTTTTTTTCTTTAGTTTTAAGTGTCTACTGTGAGAAATTATTGTTAAATTTTTATTTTACAACGTACTTACCCCGGCATCTCTCTGAACATGAGAACGTGATTTTTACGATAAAAATTGCATATTTCTGTGAAATTCATAGAACTGGTACAATTTTTTCGTGAATTCAATTTGCGTGATCATAAAATTTCATTTTTCTCCTTTAATTAAGAAAAAAAGAAAAATTACACGTACGATTTTTTTAGAGATATACCACACTTCAAAGTTATTCGTGCGTTTTTGTCATCTATCGTCGGCATTAGCATTATGAAATTCAAGAAAAATTTTTGCTAGTTCTATGGAACCGAAATATGCAATTTTTACTATAAAAATCATGTGTATACTTTCGAGAGAATAATGAAACGAAGATGTTATAAAACAATAATTCCACAATAACTTCTTAGTAGGCATTTTATCTTTAAAATAATACAAAAAATGTTCGTATACGGTAATTTTTCATGGATTTTTAATGCTCATTCACATTGTACCTATTTTTGTCTATAATTTTTTATGGTATTTTTAGCGGTTTCATTCATTTTAGGGCTTTTGAAACTTTTGAAGACGGTTTTTAGAATTTAACATCAGGTGACTTTTCTTAAGTAATCATATAGAATCATATATGTCCACATGGAAAAACTGCTGTTAAATGAAAAGATAAAATTGTTTCGTGCAGTTCAATATTGACATCACAGATTGCAAATATAAGCAGTTACTTTAACTGTAAAATCATTGACAACACCTTAAAAACAAAAAAAAGACGTAATAAAAAAAGATTAATAGAATATTTTTCTTAGTATAAAAATAATATTTTTTGTATTATATTTAACACTATAAATATATCAATTTTGCATAAAATTTGCTTGAAAATAGTCTCGGTATTAATACTTTTATATTAATTTCTAGCATATTTTTGTTATTTTTTAATATTTATTTTGTTAATTATATTAACATAAAAAGGACTCGGCACAAAATATGGGAAAAAGTGTCAGTCTAATTGTCTAAGAATTATATATTGTAGTTTTTTACCTTCTGTCCACAAATTCTATAGGTAAAAACAACAGTATTTCATTCCTTGAAGACATATATAATTAAGTGTGATTATATATGATCATATAGAGATGAAATTCATATATAATTGTGTGTAATCCTTTTCTCTCGGACATGCTTTTATTTAGTCACTCTTGAAGTATCTGACGTGGCGTTTCGACGATTACGATTACATTATCGACATTTTTAGAGCTCGTCATCTACTTTGACATATCCTTAATCCCGAATTTTGCGACTGCATTATGTAACTAACGGCTTACACGCGAGTAGACACTGCACTGTTTATCTAACGTGAGCGAAAATTCGCGTAGTGAGAGTCACGGAAAATGTATTCACGAGGAAATATACAAGTACACGCGCTCACCTTCGTATCGCCGAGGGTTGCCTAATGACGGCATTTCTTCGGGAGATTCATCTTGCGAGCGTACCTCAGCGATTCTGGCGTTAAATTACGGAAAGATTAATAACTGTCGGGAAGATTAAAGCGTAGAGACTCGAAACGAATATGCGCTACAATCGCGGTGCCGTTATACGCGGCAACGCGCGCGGGTTAAGATATTTATCACATTAAATAATTTCGTGCCTTGCTCCTCGTGAGATTCGCTCAATCTTAATGCCGTGTGAATGATACAGATTTATGCAGACGCGCGAAGACGGGGAATTGCAAAAATAAATGCGAGGTCGAACGTATATATAAAGTCTGTTTAACTTACGAAATTTCTTCGCTGACGGATGACTCGGCCGAAATTTAATCGGTGCCGTTAGCGGGCGCATGACTTCCTCGCGTATATTTGCCAGCGTGTCCTCCCAAGAGTGAAATTGTGAAAAATTTTCGTCGTATATCCTAATTAGTGGAGCATCGGTAATTTTCTCACTAATGCAACTAATAAGTATGTATGATAATTATTATTACGCTTTTGTGTAGTCTTTGCGCGATTTTCGCACATGACATCCTCGCATGCTCGCAGCTCAGCGGCGACGCTCGTTTGCATATTGTGGCGGACCGTCGATGCGCGGCCACTTGTAATTAAAACACGAAATATTCATAATTTAACTGCGACAATGTATCTTTCGACGTGAAAAATAAACGCAGCAGCAAAGGAGGCAGCCACGTAATTTAATTGGCCCCCCCTCTCTCTCTCACTCTCGCTCTCTTTGGCCGCGCATCAATTAATTGCTTTCGTTACGTTCGTTTTTAGTCGCCGACTGTTGCCGCTCGTTAAGTCTCCTCGTGTGCCTCTTTTGTTACAGCGTCATTCTGCGACGTGGTTTACAGCAGCGATTCCACGAAAACTGGCGTAGTCACATCGCCAGCGTATCCGAATCCATATCCATCCAGGACACACTGTACTTACGATTTCCGAGGAAGAGGAAAGGAACGGGTGCAGGTGGTATTCCAGGACCTGAATCTGTATCATACGTCGAGCGACACGAACGAGTACGTTTCACTTGTATTTCTCCCATTGTATCTCTTAAAACATGTTTATGCTTCGCATTGATTTCCGTTGATTGCATGAAAATTTAACCGATGATTGATTTGCTAAAGGTAAATAAATAGGTAAATAGAGATGCGGTAAATAAATGTAATTCAAGATGTATATATATCACGGAGAGAATTTTATAATTGATATTATTATAGAGTTTTGTAACAGAGAGAAACATATCTCGATATATTTTGAGTTAATATATTCTTCATAATTTCCTGTTCTTCCGCATATTATAAGTAATATTATAAATAATATTTATTTTTTAGAAACTGAAGTGCACTATATACTCTTTAACTTATTATTATTAAGAAAATTACTATGTTTCTCAACAAGATAAAAATTCTACACAATAAAAAAATTTGTGTTAAATTTAACACATTTTACATATTCCAAACAATCCACTCAAAAGACCCCGCACAAACATACAGAAAAAGTGGTTTCAATCAAATTGTCTAAAAATTGGATATATTGGTTTAGTTTTAACCTCCTGATCACAAATTCCATGGGTAAAATTGTCAAACATGGACAGATTTTTTTGCTACAGGTGTTTGAAAGCGGCAATATTAGATTCACGTACGCTGAAGATCCATTGATTAGTTCGATATTGTATGTGGAAATATGTGTGTATATTGGTATGTGTGTATGCGTATGTGTTCATGTTTGAAAAAATCTATATTTGAAATTTTTACCTATAGAATTTGTGGACAGAAGGTAAAAAACTACAATATATAATTCTTAGACAATTAGACTGACACTTTTCCCCATATTTTGTGCCGAGTCCTTTTTGTGTTAATATAATTAACAAAATAAATATTAAAAAATAACAAAAATATTATGCTAGAAATTAATATAAAAGTATTAATACCGAGACTATTTTCAAGCAAATTTTATGCAAACTTGATATATTTATAGTGTTAAATATAATACAAAAAATATTATTTTTATACTAAGAAAAATATTCTATTAATCTCTTTTTATTACGTCCTTTTTTTTATTTTTAAGGTGTTGTCAATGATTTTACTTGAAATCTTCTTAATTTAATCGATTCAATTGATATCACATTTGGAAAATTTGCTTGTCATAGATAGAACTCGGGAACTTCGGGTCTTAAGTCGCCTACTTTACCTATTTTCATAGATATACTTCGTATTATACATTCGTGGACCGAAAGATTGTTCATAATTTTTCGGGTGAGTTTGTGAATTCGCAACTGAGTTTGTGAACTCTTTCTAATGGGAAAATTTTCCTATTGGACAAGACGAATGAATTCACAAACTCACTAAAGAAATTACCTTTCTGAACCTTTCTGAAGAACAACCTTTCTGTCCACGAGTTTCTGTCTATATTGTAAGATAGCGAAAATATAATTTGTCAACAACAATTAAAATCTGATATAATAATTAATTTGCATTGAAATATAAAATATGTAATTTCAATATGTTGAATATCAGTTTAGAATATTTGGATAACACAAACATACTATGTTAAATTAACACTTGGATATATTAAACATTTAACCCACAAGATTCAATTAAAAGAAATACAATATGTTTTTTATTATGTATTGTCAGTTTCTATTAATAGTTTTGTTTTTATAGACTATCAATATTACCATTAAAGACAATTCATCATTGTCAGAAAATATGAAAAATATGGAAAAAACGAAATGCATGAAAATTTGAGAAAGAAGTATTTGAAAAAAAAACTATAATATTCTAAAAAAATATAGTATCATTTGCATTGTTTTATTGATTGTTTATTAGTTAACAAAATATTTATTTTGTTAATTATATTAACACAAAAAGGACTCGGCAAAATATGGGAAAAAGTGTCAGTCTAATTGTCTAAGAATTATATATTGTAGTTGTTTACCTTCTGATCACAAATTCTATGGATAAAAATTACTATACAGTCGACTTTTAAAACATAATCAATTTCGTACTTCACCCGTAACGTAACGTGATGCGATAATATTGTAATGCTGATTACTGGTGACTCGTCACGACATTTAAAGGTCTGTCTATATCTATCCTAACGTTAGTTGTAGAGACACGAAAGAGACATCGCAAAAATCATTTGTCTATAAATTGCAACTAATATAATTGCAATTAATTGTTCAAACATTGTTAAAAACATCTAATCGATTGTTGCAAAACATGCAATTATTGTAAAGTCAATTTTTATGGTCAGTTTGCGACAGCGCTCGAGAATAGTTCCGACTGGTAATATAATCACTTAAAATCAATATTATGATTGATGTAGACAAACTTTAACGAGTTAACTGCTACTCTCTGATTTCCATTGATTTCAATGCTCAACTAAAATTTTAATCATCAAGCATACAGTAAATAAATGCAATTCACGATACATATACTTGTTAACATGTTTCATTGGCTTTCCATGGAGAAAATTTTATAGTAAAAATTACTACAGCATTTTCTAACTAAGAAATATATTAACATTCTGCTTTTGCAACATGGATCGCTCAGTTTTTCATTATTTTAACGAATTTCTTGATGTTAAGTAACGGTTTTATTGTTTTTGTAGTGTCTCTAATACATGAATAAGTAAAAAGTAAGCAACCATAAATTTTTATTTATATAATTATTATAAATAAAGAAATAGTCTCAAAATGTATGCTTTTTATGAAGAAAAATTCATTTTATATTAAACTATTTTCAATATTAGAATGACAATTTAGGTACTTATTTAGGACGCCCTATTTTTTAAAATTTTGTCAACTTTTTCGCTACGTTGTTTTTTTATCATAAATAAATTTTGAAAAATATGGAAAAATCATTATTTTTTACTGTAGATCCAAATAAATTTTAATATCTATTATAATAGTACTCTAGTGGTTTTTTGGATACACCGAATCTGAGGTTAGAATTTTCAAATTTTTTAAAATTTAAAATAAAATAAAATTAAATTAAATTAAAATAAAATTAAATTTAATAGCTAAACTAGTAGGAATCAATATGAACCAGTATAAGTTTTAAAATTTTGTGTTCTGATTTGTAATCAGCGATCTGAAAAATTCCCAAAAAATATAAAGTTAAAAAAAATTGGTTTAATACAAAAATTCGTAACACAAAGAGTTAATTCATTATATCTTTCCGTTCATATATTCATATATATTCAATTAGTATTACTTATATAATTTCTGTTATAGAAACTGCTATTTAAAAGTTAATTAAACTGTTTATTATTTAAAAGTTGATTAAGGTTTTTTAGTAAGATAAATTCTACTGACAATCTATTCCTGCATTACTAGAAAATATAACAAAATTCAAAAGAATTTATATGAAAAACGAAATATTATATAATATTCTTTTCATGTGACTGTATATTTAATTTGTATGTAAATAATTGTATTTACGTTGACAAATATTAAAAAGATTTTTTACAAATATAAAGCCGACGCAGTCGGCTCTAATTGGCTAGATACTTACGTATTCTATGGTAAACAAATGAACAATAAGAACTAGATTACCGATGTAATGAGTATATATTTATATTATGAAATGATAAGACCTTTAAGAGTCAAAGCATGATTATCTTAATATTATAAATTAAATAATTAAATTCAGTTTCTCTTTCCTTCTCTTTGTCTTGCAATCTACACAAACACTTCAATTGCCCAGACGTTTCGATCTTATATCGGATTCATTTCAATGCAAGTAAATACAAATAGAATCTACATAATAAAGCAAGTCAAATGTGTAAGAATGTTAAACCAAATTAAATCAAAGTCAAGCGAGAAAGTGGTTCAATCAATTCCGCGTTCAAACAACCGCAAACACAGCACTGACAAATAGAAATAAACAAATGATGCTATCAAACTAAAGAGAATATCTACGTTGTGAGACAGAGAAACTAAACTTGATTATTTAATTTATAGTATTAAAAGATATTATCTCTTAGCTGAATGATTATCAGATTCTGATTTATGCTTCCATATTTATAATATGAGTGTACACAAATTACAAATCGGAACATTTCAACCATTATTATGGATATCTTCAACGAGATATACAAAAGAATGAATTATAAATTATAAGGAATGTCAGTCATTAAATCAGCTATATTGGCTTTTATTGTCTATTTTTTATATTTTTTATTTTAGTCAAAGAGCCTTATAATTATTTATTGAGATTATATTTAGTCGCTGATGATTTTCACGTCAATACGTTAACAATGTGTTAAATAACTAATGCAGATAGACTAAGTCCGTACGAATCGTAGTTCCGTAGTTTGGTTGTACACTAGCGACCAGATAGGTTGTCTATTATTTATTGTACGAGTTCTGGAACGCATCTCTCTTGTCCAGTGGGAGAATACTCCCATTGGACAAGATGATGCGTTTCAACCACAAATTTACGAGACGGCTAATAGCATGATTGGCAAGGACAGAGATATACTAAGTTAAATACTTTGTCACACAATACTCTAGGAGAGAGCAGTGTAGGAGAAATAAGAGAGAGAGAGAGAGATAGAGAGAGAGAGAGAGAGAGAGAGAGAAGAAAGAGAAAACTCATTAATCATATAATTCGAGACGATTCTTTCTCCTCCTTCGTTCTCTCCATCAACTAGATAATTAGACAAGAAAAACATCTTATTCTCTATTGTCTTGTCTTATTAATGTTGACTTTATCCCTCTCGCGGCAATGTACAGTATATCCTATGTATCTTACTACATCCCGACTATATTCCGAGCAAAAATGTATCTAGTAGAGCAAATTTCAAGACTAGTAGCTAGATAGTAATGACTAGATAAGTTTTTTAGCCAGTCACTAACTCGTGACTGGCTAAATATTTGTACTTAGTTTTTGTCAGGAATGTCAAGAATATCTAGTAACTATACCAATTACATAGATAGTCGCTAGATAAAAAAGATTACACAATAACGAGATAGAAAATTATCGGTAAATCCTGAATAGAAATTGGATAT